TATCAGTTTTTCAGTTAAATTAACGGCAGTTAACCAATTTAAACATGAGCATCTCCAGTTAAGACCCTGCAGTGGAATCTATGGTGTGAATTTGTCCAAGTGAGTGAAATATTTAGGATTAAAACCAGACAAAGAACTGGATAAAATCTGACTTTAGCTTATGATAAATATAAAAACCTAATTTTTTTTTTTAACTGAATTTATGACCCAACACAGATGTGCATGAAACCAATCTAAGGATTCTGTGGATCCTGTATGAGCAAGCTTAGTTTTACATTTTGTCTCTTAAAGAAATGATTTAAATCGATGAAAACATCTAAACAATGTGATCAACTGGCACCATCCTCAGAGCTCCAGATAATCAGAACAGAATCTTTTAAGACTTGGTCGCTGCAGTTTGACTCTCTGACAGTAGTAATTAGTGGGTTTTTTTCTTCCTTTGCCCTCCCTAAAGTCTTGGCTGAGATATTGAAGACAAAAGCCACATTGACAAGCTTTAACATTGAAACATAACTGGTGTAAACATCCCAGATGAGCCTCCAGTTTATACCAACTGGCTCAATGACCGTGACCAGTATGAGTCTATGCAAGAAGATTACTTCAACTTAGATTTACTAAAACGAAGCGTACATGGAACGGTAATGGAGCGTGGACGTTGGTAATATCAGTGGTGGTGGTGAGAGGCTGATCCAGCAGGTCTTTGAGCTGTAGACACTGACTGAACTCTCGTTGTGTTCAGGAATGGAGTCGGCCGGCGTTCACGAGACGACCTACAACAGCATCATGAAGTGTGACGTGGACATCCGTAAGGACCTGTACGCCAACACCGTGCTGTCCGGAGGCACCACCATGTACCCCGGCATCGCCGACCGCATGCAGAAGGAGATCACCGCCCTGGCCCCGCCCACCATGAAAATCAAGGTAGGCCACAGTTTCCCTGCTGGCCTGATGTGGTTTATGCAGATTCTGCCGTCGGCAGCTTTCTGGGACTCTGGTCTGTAAACTGCAGAGACTGTTTAGATCAGGAACAAATATATCAAGTGTTCCCCTTCAGACTCTTTCTGCTGCATTGGACAGCGAATTTTGAACACAAGACAGATGAAGAGCTTGTAGCAAATGATTTGTGTAATAAATCTTTTTTTAATGTGTTTTTTAAGGATAGTCTTAGCTGTTAATACATGTGGCCTAAATTTAGGCAAGTGTGAATTTGAGGATTTTTTTCATTTTAACCTAAAAAATTAATAGATGTGCCCAGGACCCTAAAGACAGAAATGACCATTTTTACAGTGTATATAAATTTAAAAAAGAGGGTAAAAAGATTTATTTGTTTTTTTTATTTTTAAAAGTTTAATCTAATTTTTCATTTGGTTTTAAAACCACAATGAAAAGAAAACAAGAAAATTAGAGACATAGTTTTTGTCAGACAGGCTGTTTTTTTGTTTTCCTTTTGATTTCCTGACTTTAAATCTGTTCTCCAGCATCTTTCTGATATGGACAAAGTCAAAACACTCTGAAACTGGTGAACTCTTGGTGCTGCCGTCTCCAGACTCTTCCCTCAGAATAAAATAAACCTGTCCTGCTGTGTTTGCTGCTCAAATCTTCTTTCTCACCGTACTCTTCCTCTTCCTCCTCCTCCTCCAGATTATCGCTCCCCCAGAGAGGAAGTACTCCGTCTGGATCGGCGGCTCCATCCTGGCCTCCCTCTCCACCTTCCAGCAGATGTGGATCAGCAAGCAGGAGTACGACGAGTCCGGCCCCAGCATCGTCCACCGCAAGTGCTTCTAAACTCCACCTTCCTCCTCAAGTCAAACATGCTTCCCAACTCCTCCGCCCAACTACAAATGTGTCTGGTTCGTCTCTCGTGAACGGACTCAAAGGTACATCAGGCAGC